AAAATGGGATTTTTATCGCCGAAGTTTTATCTACGGTTAGTTCATCTAAAAGAATGCTTCTAAGATATTTCTGTTGATTTCGCTCATTTGAATGTCAACCTTCTGCTTGTCTTTGGATCGCCATTGTGTCTTCCTAACTAGGCTCACAAGTGTAAATTATTTTGACTTAATTTACACAAACGAACTAATTTGCATTGAAACTGTTGAACTCATGAAACGGCTACTAATAATCGATTCCATGTGGCCATTACTTTGAGCACGACTCGATATTTACACACTATTAGCATTGTAATTCACTGAAATCGTGGCTTAACTTATTGACCACCTAGATATCCATGGATATGTACGCGTGAATGAGTTACTATTATTCACCGAATTCCGACCTCACCGACGAAAACCGCGACTGAGTAGACGGGACTAATTTGTATGCCAATGCGAGTTTGATTTGTTGTTCTTTAATCTGCCATTATCAGGATGTGTAGAGGGCACTGGTTCAACTCATCCGCGAATTAGTGGTATGCGATGGGTTCTCGGCTGTGGTCCGATAAGCTTATAAATTTAACGCACTTAATAATTCTGCTAATATTTTGTCCTGAGCTTATACTCTTCCCTAGAATTAAGGGCAATTTTTATTGTTTATGGTTGTGATTTTCAGCTGAGTGCTCTTGTGGAATAATGATATATAAATTAACAGTTTGGTTAGTCCCGATTCCATTATGCGTCAAGTTGTCGCCTTCTGTGGATTACTGAGTTCGCCCTGAACTACAGATTGTTATTGTAGGTTAAAACTTTAGATGAAATAAGTTGTGATGTAACCCAAAATATGTCATTCTATTGATGTTTTGACTGAAATTCGTCTAATTACATCAAGGTTTTGCATTGATTACCACAATGTGTTAGAAGTGGCAAAAGGAACCACATATACAATTATTCCATTGGAGTAGTTATCCCACATGAGCAATTAGCACCGCGGAATATAAGTTCCCAAATCCTCCATTTATCGATCGGTATAAATACGATACTTTGTGGATAAACTCCGCCTGCTTCACGCTTTTAAATATTGGGTGCTCCTCTTACTGTCGACAAGATGGTATCTCTCGCGATTCCCTAAATATCTGCCTATTTATGCGTACATATTTGGCAGCCCTCATTAGGCTATTTGTCAGATTATTTCAACTCACATAGAAATTCTATTTCTGCAAGTTATTTGTCAAATGTATAAAATAAGTTTTCTGTAGACTGCCTAAGTATTTGCAAGAGTTAAGCAATCCACGCCGTTCCTGCTTTGGCGTTACCGTCCGCGTACCCTATAATAAAATTAGGGCTGTGAACGTTCACCACTACGGAATTATTATGTATTCAACCTCGACACAACCCGAGACTGCTAAGCGAGTTTAGACTCAGTATTCCTCACAAATTTGATGTTATCAGTTAAGCCGAACTGGTCTTTTGATAAGACCGTGAAAATATAACGGAGCTGGAGTGAGTCCAAATTTGACACGCAAACTTACTTGAGTATGCGTTTCAGACCAGAATCACGTTATTTCAAGAAGTACACCTGTATGCAGTCTGTTTTGATTATGCAACATTTAATCTGCCGGGCTGAAGCAACCTTCGCAGTTTCAGGGTTATTTGTCGGTGACGTGATTTGCGACCTCTAAGCTGTTTATCTCGATCCGTTTAACTAGTAATTAAAACCGCAGAAATTTGCGTAAATTACTTTGCAAAATCTCATGTCATTCAACCCGATATTCACATAAATCTAAGCAGAAGGCCAAACAAGGTATGTTAATGTCGTTTGGGGAGCTGTGTTTGACAGTTGCCGTATGAAATTGTTTTCCATTTGGTTATAATGTTTTATCTCTAGTACGCAAATCGATCTTTAATCTACGTGTGCAAAAGCAAAGAATTGTAACCTTTATTGATTTTGCCAACATGTGCGGTTATTGCACTCATCAAGTATGTGCTGGCAGTTAGTTCCAATAATATTTTACGTATTATAAAGCGATTGGCCAAATTATGGTTTAATGAACGCAGACGAATCGGTGTGTACAAATTAATGCAAAATATTTTCCCCAATTCATAAGAGAGCAACCAGACCGAACGGCAGTTTAGGCACCATTACTCCGTTGACTCCAATCCGATATGAGGGACTAGTACTGGCGAAGCTTTCGGATTTCATGCTTCATCACTAAGCGCAGAACATCCATTATTGCTGCCGAATTTGCCAGCACCCATACCGTTTTTATCACCCACATCAGAGAGGCGCATTATATTTCATCTACAATTGCTTCCAAATAAAAAGAAGTTGGTTTTGTCAAGGCTACCTTAAGACCTGGGTCACCGTCGGTTGTATGAAAAAAGAAGTCAACTACACAAACTTCAAAAACGTAATCGTAAATTTCCGAATATTTGGTGCCGCATTGCACAATAATACGAGGCAACTCAGCTAACGCAATGGGATTCTAATTGTCGAACAAGCTAAAACTACCAGTACGACGTGAATCGTCCGTTTGTCAAAGTCGATGCACTACGGTGAATATCGCCAACTAAATTGACTATACATTAATTAGATAAGGTAGAGACTAACCATCTGTTCTGTATTGGTATTTAAACTGCCCAATTCCCTGTTTCCATTTGTTCATACCAATCTAAAGAAGAATGTTAGAAATGCAGGTTAAACACAATTGACTACCATAACAACTCAACATTTATAAGCAGTCCATGTCCACGTTGCTCCAAAACTCCACATTTCAGGCAAGCTAGACTCAGCCAGGTTTTGAAGATGGATTACTCTTCACGTTAAACATTGGTTTGTCACCAACACGTCGTCAGTAATTTGGTTTCGTAGTTCCCATTGATGAAACCAAATCATTTGATCTACAAGTAATAAGATTAACACAGTAATAAAACCCAGTGCAATAAACCTGCACAAAATTAGACCTGAATGCGAAGAGCATATGGAATATATATATATATATATGTCAGAGTCAAGTAGTGAACATTCAAGTCAAGCTGCTGTGCCATCGCCGGTACCTTTGCTACTTCTAACGATTGGTTAGCAAAATGTGCAAAGTGTATGTGGTCTTTAAACGAAGTTTAGAAAGAATACTTTTCCGACTTAAAATGCCCTCGATCCAAACATCTTTGGCTGATTGCTCCGACTGAAGCAGAAGTTTTGTGATTTTAGAGCCACATTATCCATAAGTAAGTGTGATATTACCCTATCAAGCGATAGCGCTACAAATAATGTTTCACCAATAGACCGCTACTGTTTTAAACAGTACTTTATGCCTTCGTGAACCATGTCAGATGGAATCACAGTCACATCATGTATGAATATGGTGTTTAGGTGATCTTGCGTGTTCTGTCCCACTTCGATGTTTCTTTTTTGATTGTTGCGGTCTAATGGATAGCACAATTAATACGCATTTCACAGTGTCGGTGTATTAGCGCGCTTAAAAAACATTTTTTCATACAATTGGTGGTTGTCATTGTTATTCAAATAACGTTGGGTTTTACATAGTGCGCCGAGTCCTGATGACTAGTAAGCTGTATAAAGAGTTACGGTTTGACTTTAACACTCATAAACACACATACTTCTTTGTTCTTTGTCGGCTGATACCCTACCTGGCAATATAACGTTGGTAGATAAAGCAACAGTTGAGAACACAAATTTCAGGGCACTATTGCTAGACCCCTTTATCGTTGATCTGCTAGGTAGATTAATTGTTTGTCTTGGCCTGCTAACACGTTTTGTTTGTTTATTGTTTATCTCTATTCACGTTAACGCCGCTTATAACTGAAGAGATAACACCAGCTGCCTAATTGCTGACGTTGGCAGCAATCGCTGCATAGGTATTTGATGTCGCTGGTGTCTTTGTCTCGACAAGATACATCTGAATTGCAGATACCAATGGTTGGTATTCGGCTGTTTCAGTCCCATTAATGACAGATGTCAAGTCTAAAGGAATTAGCATAATCAAACATTTCAGTATGGTGTCTTATTTTCGCTGCATTATATATTGCCTTAATCGCGTAGCTATTGTTAATTTTCGTCGGGCCTTCTGCGAATATTAGCCAAAACAACGACGATGAATGCATGGCTGATTGCCGTTTAGGTGAAGTAATTTATGCAACATTCTGTCACTTAATGTTCATCAGCATCTCTGGTGCATGCTCGCTTCCATTGAAGTAGTGTTATCGTTCGTCCGCTGATCCGCTTCTGTGTTTATTTGCTCGCACTTATGGATTAGAATGAGAATAAGCTAAATTAGTGGGATGTTTGGGTATGCATTTTATTACAAACTGATATACTGTGAGTTAGTTTGCTCTCGTAACTTTGCTTGGGATAATTATTCAAACCGGTTTTTACCATCCGAGGCAATGCGAGAATGCCAGACCAATTTAAATAATCAATTATATTATTTTAACCCATAAAAGCTTTTACATTGAAGCCTTTCCGATTCGTATTTCTGCCATTCGATGTACGGTCGTTATGAGACTCGCTAGGTTTGTTGATTTTCTATACATTTCCAGCCTTCATGGTAAAGCACATCCGTCAGTGTGGCATTGTGGTTACAATCTCAAATGAGCGATCGGTGTGTTCGCGCCTTCCGTGTGACTCATTTCATTTGATCCCAGTGCCTACACACCATCGCTTTCGAATGCACTAATGAGTGCTAGACTTGACACGATTCAGATGTGTCGTAAACAGCAGCTCACATTTTGTTCGTACAGAAATAATTTGTGGAAGTGATCGTTCATAGCATTTATTCCAACATTCGCGTTTCACAACTTTAATTTGTTAATCAAAGCAACATCTAAGTGACTTTGGAACACAAGTGATGTTTTCATTTCCATTGTGTTATATCATGTGCAGCATCGCTTGAATTTGGTTGGCTGCTAATATATCTGCTATTGTATTGGTCGACCGAAGACAACCAGACACCTATAATAAGCACACCGTTGATTTCGCCTATGATTTGGTTGGATACATCATGGGACGGTCATTGGTAATGGTAAGTAAAACCTGCATACTACATGGTAGATGTTATTCGGTACTGAATCCTTATAAGCGTTGATACTTAACGCATTAACCCTTGCTTATTTCGCCACTACCTTCATTCACAGATGCTTCTACTAAGCCTGATGCACGCATCACCTGCAAATATAAGTGATAAAGCGGAGTGCGAAAAGGAATGTGACAAGAAATGTCCTATCTTATTTCGCCCTAGGCCAGGAATAATGTGGGGGCCATATCACAATTACAAGGCGAAGAATGAATGCAACATACGCTGTGTGCAACGCCGGTAATGAGCAATTTTTATATATTCCACAATTTTAAGTGCAAATTTTGAAAACATCATAAACTGCTGTTCTACTTACCTTATGTCTCATGTGTTTGTACATACCTTGAGCAATAGATGGCTAGTTAACAATGTTTTTGTATAGTCCAGCCTTAAGAGCGTAGCAGAAAAATTAAACCTGTTTTATTTCCTTAACTACTCAACCGGCCGTGGACGCAAATTTATGCCAGCTGGAGTCTTTGAACGTGCTTTGTCAGGCAGACAAACTATTGTAGCAAAGTTGTTGGTTTCATTCCAGTGGCACGCGACTGTATGTTCTGCAATGCCATGGAGATACTTCGTCACCGATATGATGTTCAACTTGCCTAATGATTTACGTCGCTAAAACATATTTAGTTGCGAATTTACTTGCACCATAAGTCCACTATCGAATCGCATCATCCTGTAAGGATACTTATCTACCACTTACTTATGACTTATTAAAACTTAGTTTAAGCGGTATTGTTTTAATAGAACCAAGCCTGATTGCTTTAATACGATTGTAGCAGTGAGGAGATGCCGTTCACAGCGAAATGTGCAACTGGTTCCTAAATTTCTGTGAGTTTAACCTTCAGGCGAGTTTCGAGCCTTTGTTTTCTAGCCTCAAACAATCATAAGCACCTCTATTACTGCAGAAGCTTTATTGCATAAACTGAGAACTCGGCGCAAACGCTGCTTCCCGGGATACGGCATCTTTCGCCTAAAGGCACTGTAAGCAGCGGCAAGACAACTGGCAAAACCTTTGACCCAGTTCTTTTAGCCTTCCTTAGACCAGAGATAAATGTCAGTGATTTGAAATTTTGGTATAATATGCCTGATTCACAAATGGGGAAGCAGAACTGAGGCTACAAACTACATCTTACTATATCTTATCTCACTGTATCCAAGACCATGGAGTCGAACTTTGCTGATCGCAGGTGTGTTATTTAGAAACTTGTACCAATATTACTCAATAGAACCACGGCTTTTGTCGCCAAAGACTGTGCACAACGACTTTATTTATCGCATCGATTCGTTAAACAGAGTCAACCGATGCTGGAATAATCGCTGATATGGATCACTTTATTATGCTGAAAGCTTTCAATAGATTTTTGTCATCGCATTCTTCAATACAAGCTGCAATATAACGTTGACCTTATTTTGAGCTATGTAACCAACTTTCTCCTGCAACGACGGTTACCTTCAGAGACCGAAGTCCCTTATCTGACCTCATGCTGATTGAGTCTGGTATGCCTCAGGGCTCAGTATTTAGATGACGATATTTCTGTGTATTCCCTAAAGACCTAGCACAGACAACCGCTAAAAATTTCCTACTGTTTGCCTTCGATAACAAGGTACGTCGCAGAATTCATGTGGATGCCGATCAGATTTTACTTCAATGTGACTTAACTATGGTACATCAGTGGTCAACTTAAAATCTGCTGCAGTTCATCATGGGTCAATTGAAGGTACTCTCCACACCAGGCCAGAGTATTTATTCCTACAGGAAAGGGACGTAAGTACTGCAGCGAGCAGCATTTGAGTGCGAGCTTTGCTTTTTGGTTCAGTATAAATTGGGTTGTTCCAAGCGATCCGCAAAGGCATCGAAAAATGGTAACCAACGCATCGGCCTGTGATTACTTGTGTTCGGACAAACAGACACCATTATTTTCAAAGTATGTTTAGTGCTTAAATTCGCGCTATTTCGAATGCGCAATTAAAGCCTGACAATCCTAACTGAAGCAAGATATTACTGCTCTGGATCAACCTCAATGTCGAGCCTTCAAATATATCAATGGAAGGCGCAATCTACAAACAAGCGTAGGTTAAATGGTTTGGGATTATGCAGCAAGCGGCATCGCCGAATACGTGGTGACTTGTTCATGACGTATTTGGTTGTATACAAAACAAATCATGTGTGCCACTCTTTACGGCAATCTCGAAGTAAAACCAATCGTATAAGACAAAGTTTGAAGTAAGCAATGCAATATAGTGATCCGGAGTGTCGTAGAATTATTTTTCATTCTTGTGTGTCAACCAAATTCCTCCTGGTATCAATTGTCTCTGCACCCACGCCAGCCGTATACAACGTCGAGTGGATGACTCACTCCGCCAGTTATATTTTGTTAATTGACACTGCTCTCCACCCTACTCGATGGAAAGAACATGGATTTAGTTTATTTGGATTTATAACCCCGTAGGAAGCACACAGATTGAAGGGCTACTGCATTTAATAAGTACATATTTTTTGACAATACAACAATTAAATGCATTTTTTGCAATATCCTTTTACGATAAACCACCACACCACCCAATGGGACTTTTAAATCATGGCTTATTAACCTGTATGCAATTATTTTTTCTTGCTCAGAGGTTGGCTATACCCACGAAGAGTTCGTCAAACCCCATTTGTACTAAGCACCACAGTCGCTTACATAACTATCCGTACTTCGACAGGTGCTTACCATTCTTCCGTGCAACGATGACCGGATGTACGGCCGCAATCACTGCGGTCGTTCGATAATGTGTAGCAACAGAAGCACGTGTCTCTGGTTATGAACTTCCTAGGATGTTAACAGCTGATCCAACGAGGTCTCATCCAGTCCTAGAACAACTGGTAGACGATAGGCAACGTAGTTGCGCAGATCATCACGTCTACTCATTTAGTTGAAAAATTATTGTATGCTTTGAGCTGCCCATGGTCGGAACCGTGTGGAGCATCACTGAATTGATGAACCAGGTTAGGCTAACCCGAGGAACTACCTGAATATTTGCAATGTATTTTATCAAGTATCAGTACGCCCTTAAACATTTAGTTGAGCAAAGTTGAGTTTCTTCCGGTTTAATGTGTTTCTTTCTGGGCTAATATGGATCTTGAGTCCTCTTGGTCTACCGAGCCGATATTATATCAGCTATGGGATAAGTTCGTCAAAGCAAGTGATTCACAGCGGCCATCTACTCTTTTCTTTATTCCAAGACAAGTGCATTATTTACACTTAAGCCTTGTACATCACACCCAATGGGTCTTTCGAGCAGACACTACAGAAAAGCGACGTTGTGTTTATAGCGAGTCTTGTTTTGCATCCGTCGACTCAGTCGCCTGAACTAACATGAAGTTGCAACGCCGGTGTCCGTTGGCAGTTGTTTCCTCTTTATTCATACATCTTACCATACAATAGCTTTCCTCACTCGCGCTCCAGCACAAGGGGTACTAGTGACCATAGGACGCAACACATACGGACACACCAGCTGTGTCTCTAGAGATTAATGGACGTCGTTCCAGAGGGCTGACAACCTGCTGGCAGGCAGGCTTGTTCAAACATAGGGTTGGGTCAGTTTCCGAAGGATGAATTAAAACACTCAGAACTCCTCGTTATAGAACGTTTCCCTGTCCTCCTTGCTCGTTTGATTTATAGATTGCTGATTCTCCCAATTCAGTCTGGCACTTTTCAAACTATATTTGGACAAAATTATGCTATAGGACCTGTAGTATTCTAAATTGGTCAAGAAATATACCGACGCAGGAAATGTAGGGCCATATAGTGCAAAAGTCCATGCAATCTCATTTACATGAACCCCCAAGACTTTAACACAGTTAACACGAAAAGAGTGCATTGTCATTTCATGAAAGTTACCGATCGATACCTCTCGTTCAAGTTAATAAAGAACTGCAAAGATTAGGAAAATTCTAACACGTGCATTTGATAAATTAATTCAGAATTACTAATGATAGCAACGCATAATATCACAGTTGAAAACGAGTTTAGCCTTGTAGAAACGAGACAAGCTGGCCTGGCGATGACGCAAGTAGAAGGAGACCTGGACGGCTTTATGTACAGTCGAGTAATTCAAATATTATTGTGTTAGGTAGTTATTCTTATTTTAGTTGCATTTATGACGTCATAACTCATTCTTACGGAAAATTGCGTAGTTCAGGGACCAGTGGCTAACAGAAGGATTTCCTCTGCATTCTCTCCTGTATGAATAATTAGTTGGAATAAAAGCGATTCATCGTAGTGTAGCGAATTATCGAAACCACCGAAGCGTGTCATACTGGCCAGGATAGTTTGCAAATCTATTACTTGAAACTGTCTCATTTTTTATCAATTTTTCCGATAGTTATGGCTTCTTGCAGCTTATAATATTTATGGAACTATGGCGTTGCTAACTATAGATTGGTTTTTGTTTACCTGATTTAATTCGTTTGACAATAGAATATATCTTGTCATTATATATTAAATGCAAAGTGAAATGCTTTTAACTTGATAGCATCTGTTAAAATAAGATTATTTACCTTTCTGATGTGGGTGATGATAGAAGACGCGTATGCTACCAGCTCTTTGGCCATAATATACTTACGCAAGTGTTTGATAAGACAAAAAATACAAACGCATCACCAGAAGTGGTCCCTCATATCAGAGTACGATACAACTAGGTAATAGTGCCTAATTAAAGACGGTAACCGTGCCGCCCACCCTGGTTGATCTGTTATGAATTGCAGTAATTTTTGCATCGCTTTCTACACGCTGATTTAACTGAGTTAATTAAAACGCAAACCTGGTTACTTGGTTTAAAATACCTGACAGATTGTTGCAATTCTGCGCTAGCATTGCTGCAAATCTACGTATAGAATAGCAGCATATGCTTGTAAACCAGGCGAAACCCGTCGTTTGTACCGTATATATATATGTATATATAAATACAGCAGTCCATATAAAACACATCATATCCTGGAATAAAGGTTTACCATTAGCATGACGATTGCGGTGAGAATTATTGTTTTTTTTCACACACCGTTAAGTTATTTTTGCAGTTCGGTGCTTAATTTGTTGCTGATTAGGATCCATGTAAATATTTGTGAATGTGTTTCATAACACGAGGTTAAGCGTCATGCCCCCAAGCGTCTCCAAATAGCAATGTAATTTCACTCTGATTTACATCGCGAAAGACATACGGGGCCAACAACAACTAGACTGGAAGTCAGTGCCTTAAGTTATTGTCGCAATGTGCTAGGTTGGTCACCGTGTAAGCTTATCCAGTGCGGCCGTGCGCGAGCGAAAATAACGCGCCGTGCTAGACGCCCCAATGCTTCCGTAGGAGTTGACCAAGGCACCTCAGTTTGCCTAGGGATAACAGCTTGTCATGATGTAGGCCTGTTTAACATAAGACGCGGAGCATAACATCGAAGTAACGAACGTGCCGTTTCAAACACAAACGGGCAATAATGCGAAGATAAACATTGTCAAATTCTCAAATAAGAACTAGGTAATTTGCGTGTATTGGCCAGAACTCGCTTTCGTATGACAGGACCGCGCGAAAACGCGCACAATGAACACTGCTCTTATCGAGAACAAACTATCAAGACGACGCTACCCATGTCTTTGATCAGTTAGTGCTGATCGAGTTTTGGAGATGAGAGGAGAAATGGCATAGCCAATAATGCAATAACAGGAAACGCAATAACTAAGGTACTTAAAGACAAGTACTTACTCAAGCAGCACAGTTTCAAGAATCATCACTTGGCTAGTGGATACCAGTCCTAAAGTGGGATTTTGCATCTTCATAGAGCAAAGTCACGCCATACTAGGTAGCATCTATAGTCAAACGGTTTTGAATGGGCTGCATGAACTGTGGGTCCTCAAGGGGCATGGCAAATGCATCCACCTATTGCAAGTCACTCGGGCGATTGTATGGAAAAAGCTCTACGCTAGAACATTTGGGACCATCCAGAGCGCTTAGTAAGACATGTTCAATGGCAAAATTGAAAAGCAACTGAAAAATGGGACATAATTATGGCACACAGCTAGTGAAGGCGAAGGCTGAAACGAGCTGACAATCTGCTAGTTACCAGGCAACATATGGCATGGTATAATGTATCAAATGTTTGGACACGGATTCCTTTGCAGACAACGCCATAGACCGAGACAAACGTAATTTGGATGTTCAAAAATGAAAAACAGAATGAATGATCGATAATTGGCAGCGACAAGTATTAAATATACACAACAATGGTTGGCGAAATATGTAGACACAATAAATACGTAATGAATACCCCGAGTAACGCGTTTTAAGATAATCAGACCTACGAAAACCTAGTTTATAATGGCGGACAATGGTTACGCGTAATCACTTAATTGACAATGAGGAAGTATTTCTGCTCCGGCAGCCTTGAATGTATCCAAATGACGGAGCTCGACACAGGCCTAAATATCGGTGGGTGGTTTAAGTGTAACATTCAAGGCCGCCGGTAAGACTGCTTGTTTGACATATGAGGGTGTTAGCGAAAAGAAATGAAAGTGGAAGCGCTCAGCCAAGCAGTCCACACACATACAGCAATGAATGTTTGATGTTACATGTTACTCGAAAACAGATTCAATGAAGACAAATATTCCGTAGATGATGAAAAAAATAAATTGAGAAAAAATAAGAAAATTAAAAAAGCGCAGATGTCTTCGTCGCCAAATAATGCGACATCAGTAATAAAGTGAGGATTAAGCAAACTTTGCTTGAGCTGTTCGCTGATGTTAAGACGGATTAATCGACGGCCGCAATCAGAGGAAAGGCAGCAATTAAAGTAGTTGAATCCATATGCTTGCCCAAATGCACACCTTCAAGAATCAGCACGGGCTATTGGATGCCAGTCCCGGAGTGGGTCCAGCATCTCCATAGATCAATTCATGTCATATTTTGTAGCATCTATCAACAAACAGTTTTGAATAAGCTGCATGATCTGTGGATCCTAATGGGGCATGGTAAATGCATCAACCTGTTGCAAGTCAGGCGGGCGGTTGTTTGGAAGAAGCTCTACGCTAAAGCATTTGTGTCCATACATAGCGCTTATGAAGACATCTTCCATTTCAAAATTCAAGAGATCTAATATGTGGGACATTATCGCACCTTGTTACTGAAGGCGAACTCTGAAGAAAGGTTGCACACTGCCAGAGTTATTGCAGTATATAGCTCGGTGAATTGTGGTATGGATTTTGGGACCAAACCTCCTTTGTGGATAAAGTCATAGACCGAGTGGAACGCAGCTCGGAAGCCCAAGAATTCGAAAATTGTACAAGCTGAAAATGGCTGCGCTGCTCGAAGTTTTGGCGGAGAGCATCCATTTGATACACACAACGAAAACCGAGGAAAACCAGCAATTTGCCAATGTAAGTGCAGTTCTCTAATCGGTGTAATCCTGCATGGCAGAATGGATGCTAGCAATTTGAAGGCGCCCAAGGAGGACCAGATCTATGAGAACCGCGCTACTAGTTGGTTGACATTCGCTATGCCGCATTACTTAATTGACGATGAGGAGTATTTACTGCGCCCGCAGTTTGAATCGATTCAAAAGACGAAGCTCGTCATAGGCCTCAATTTCGGTGAGTGGTTTTAGTGTAACATTCAAGGCGTGCCGGTAAGCCTGCTTGTTTGAAACATGAGGGAATTAGTGAAATGAAATGAAAGTGTAAGTGCTCAGCCAAGCAGTCCACACACGTGCGGCAATTCGTGGTTGTGATACATAAATCTCGCAAACAGATTCCATGAAGACAGTTTGTTTTTGCAGATGCACCGAATAATTTTAATAGGCTTAGGAATATTTTAAGGAGAGCTGCTATCTCCTTCGCCGAAGAGAGCACCGTGACTACCAACTTTGCGACCGTTACGCATAGCTTGCTTGTGTTGTTAGCCGAGGTTGCGGCGACTTCATCACAGCTTAAAGCAGCTGCAATTGCTCCGCGACTGTCAAATATTTTCAGAGAGCGGACAGAGATGCAGCCTTTAATAGCAGAACCAGCGATTCCACGGTCCCACTGATTGAAAATAATCAAAGACATTTCCAAGAAAACCCAGTGACTTTGACATGAATAAAAGGGGACATGAGCGAGCGCATTTGATAATGAGGATTCATATGTCAGTTTAATGGAGGAGTCAGGTTGACTGGTAGTGTCCAGCGTACGGTGATTTAGTTTTGTGGAACCCACATTGCGCATGCGAACCCCGTACAGACCTGAGCGTGATCTGAGTCAAGATAGTTTGAAAAAATTGATTTACAATCCCAAACATTGACCAGATATTTGCATCTGAATGCAATGTGATCATTATATGAACTGGTTTGTGTTGGTTATGGGGCGCATCTCATCGAATGCCTGAGGATCGTGCTCAAGAGAAAGCCGGTTGTCCTCACATAAATGTTGATGTCTATCTTTTATATCGGGGTGGCAATCCTCAAGAGAATAACGTCCGCCAAAAGGATTTACTGTCCGTTGAAATTAGTGATACATCCGGCATTGTCCGCAGATGAACATAAATGCAGCGCAAGTTCATAGCTTCTCGTTGTGGATAGTAAGATTAACAATCTTCCCAACGGTTGCTCCTTCATTTTGACGCCATTTTATTGCATGTCTAGATACATGAATGCCATATTTGGCGAGTTACGGAAACGGAATTAAGGAAAGTATAACTTCTTGTTTTCTTCACCGGAATCCAGTCTCACCCGAAGAATTTGATGCATGAGAAATGCATGAAGGATTTGGATGTCTACCATGTTTAAACATTTTGAATATTTCGTAGGCTCTGGTGTGGGTATGCCACCAGCACAACTGACATAAGATAGACTGTACCTAGGTAAAGGATAGCGACGGGCTACCTCAATCCTTGTGCCCCTCAAAGACTGATGTGTGCCAGATTTCATGTGACACATAGGTTGCGTTCCAAGTGGAGCTGTTGCAAAGACGCGGAGCCTAATATCGATGGATAATGTACGAGGTTGCAGGTAACCACTTCTGATAATGTACACGTGTTATTTCCCTACTCTTTGGTCAATCACAGTGAGCCCAATGCAAAGCTTCATGGCAATAAACAGTTGGCAAATAGAACTACTCGTGTTGAGCAAAGAAAATTATAGTTTACCGAAAACATGACCCAGTTGCGTTAATGCCTAACCCATCATACTCGCGCAGGCTTCCAATTTATCTATATGTAAACTTTGCATTGGTTTAATTGTTGCTGATAAATTTGCGTATTCTAATCCAATTGGTGTTCTCTGATAAGTAAGTGTCAGACTCGACGGAATAGTTGCGGTTTCTTTGAAACTCGGATGCACGCTTATCGTGAAATAAATAGCATGCTAACGAGTACATAAGACATTTCAGCTGCTGCCGTCTTTGCAGGCGCAAGTGCATCTAATGGAGAGTTAACAAAATATTTTAAAGTATATTTTCATAGTGAAAATTTCAGTGTAAAATTACATGGACCGCATACAAACACATCTTCTACTCATAATATTTTCAAATCTTAAACAATTTATTAAGCTTTCTTTCTTTTCTAACGACTTTTCATTAATACGCAAATTGATAACTTGTTCACACTCAAAGTGTACGGATAAATTTGATAAAATCGAGCTAAAGTATGTGAATGAAACCACTACCTCAGTCTCGATGTTTGGAGGAGAACAAAGGCTCTATTTCCATCTTTAACAATGAGTTGATTGATATCGTTCCGTTTACTTTATTGCAACGACAAGCGCTAGTTGGATGGTACGTCAGCCTAAGTTTAATATCGTCAGATAATTAAAAATTAAGAAGCCATAACTAAAAGCCTGGTTAGAATATTACACTCAACCTGACCATGTGTTGAACGCAATAACGAGTCTAATATATTGAAATTACCATCATTCATGCTACGGACTCGTCATGGTGCTAAATAACAGTGGTTGTGGTAGCATCATAACAATTTTGCATCTGAATTGAGAAAATCTCCGGATATACAAACGTTGCTAGTGAAATGAGCTTCACCGATTACCGTTTTCTCTTTGCGTTTTAGGAAAAGGCAAGCGATACTTCAAGAACATACGAGAAATCCAGATTCCGAATACAAACATCCAAGAGCAATTCGAAATGTGACGACATCGATAGCGAAATTAGGGCAAGTGTGTATGCCATTTATGCGATGTCAAAAAACATTGCCAACCAATGCAAACTAGTCTTCACATATTTTGGAACCCGGTTTCTTGGGACAAAATGTATCTCAAATGCGCGTATACACAGCAGCTTATTGTGATCTTAATTTTGCATTTCTTTTTCCGAAAGGGGGAAGTTTTCCGACAAAACGGAGGTGTATACGTTTACTATGCACATGTTGGATATACAGAGCAAAATCTATACCCAGATTTCCGGCATATGCTGTAGAGGCTACTTACTTCGGAGTCCATATTTAATTAGATTTACCTCGGGAATATATACATATAAATTAATGTGTTTTAAATTATGGTAGCAATAAATACATGATGAACAGAAGTAATTCATTACAAGGTTTCTACCTTACTTGCTGTACTCTGCGTAACCAATGCAGATTAATGAGAAGTAAAAATGAAATTTTGGCAACTATTGAGAGCACTGCCAAGATGCAGGTCGCTAAATGGTACGTCTTGTTTTGTAGTGATACTAACATAACCGGACCTGAGCATAATCGAGGATAGGACAAGGACGGTTTGCGTTTGCCTGCTGTCAGATAGTCATCTAACGGATGACATTTTAGAAAAAGTTCAAAACGCATATGTATTTCCTCGCTTAACATCTAATGAGATTTCCGGAGGGATTTTCTGCGCAATCTTGACATTAGATAGGCTTGTTACTTCTCGTCAACCGCAAAAGGTATTATCTAAGTATACATTTAACCTGACCTGGTACGATTTCGGTATGCGCACAATGGGATTTCATTCGACGAAATGGTATCCCCGGATAGTCCAGCTAAAAGAATGCGTCTAATTAATCCTGTTGATTTCGCCCATTTGAATGTCAACCTTCTGCTTGTCTTTGGATCGCCATTGAGTCTTCAGAACTAGGCTCACATGTGCTAATTGTTTTGACTCATTTTAACCAACCAACATATTAACTGGTTTAAAATCTCAGTCGAAAATGGGCCACACGCAATGGTCAGATTCTCACAGATTCTTCAAGCTAGTGTTAAATTCAAACGACTAATTTGCATTGAAACTGTTGAACTCATGAAACGGCTACTAATAATCGATTCCATGTGGCCATTACTTTGAGCACGACTCGATATTTACACACTATTAGCATTGTAATTCACTGAAATCGTGGCTTAACTTATTGACCATCTAGATATCCATGGATATGTACGAGCGAATGAGTTACTATTATTCACCGAATTCCGGCTTCACCGACGAAAACCGCGACTGAGTAGACGGGACCAATTTGTATGCGAATGCGAATTGGATTTGTTGATCTTTAATTTGCCATTGTCAGGATGTGTAGAGTGCGCTGGATCAACTCATTCTCGAATTAGTGTTTTGCGATGGGTTCTCAGCTGTGGTCCGATAAACGTAGTAAATTTAATGTGATTATTAATTCTCTTAAATTTGTTGTACCGGTCCTATATTGTTCCATAAAACAAAAAATTATATTGTACGTCCATAAAATAATTTTAGCTGCATGTTCTCGAGGAGTAACGATATTTAATTCTCAATTTGGTTAGTCCCTCTTTTCCATTATTCAGCACGTGATCGCCTTCTGTAGCTTACTGAGTTCCTCGTGAAATGCAGGTTTTAAAATTATAGGTTAAAGATTTGAATGAATAAGTTACGATGTCCATATTACGTCGGCCTATATTATTTTATTCTGAAATTCGTCTGCTTGAATCGTGATGTTGCGTTGCTTACCACACTGGGTGGGATATGCAAAATAACCATGGATACAATTATTCCAATTGTGTGGTAATCCCGCATGAGCAGTGAGCACCGCGGAATATAATTTCCCAATCTTCCATTTATCGGCCGGTTTAAAAGCGATATTGCGTTGATTCATTCATCCTTCACCAAGCTTTATACAATGGGTGCACTTCTGAATGTGGAATATTTTTGTTCCTGCCATTCCCTACATGCGTACTCATGCCTACATCTTTGGCATTCTATAAATGCAATTGGTCGACCTAATTCCCTACTCATATTAATTCTTCTATATGTTTCTAGAAGGTGTTTGTCAAAAGGTTTAGAACGCTTTTTCAATGAAATGCCTAAGTGGGTGCACAAATTAGTAAGCTACGCTGTTTATGCTACGGCAATGTTGTGCGCCTACTCTCCAAGAATAATTGTCTGTGAAATTTTAATACCACTGGATTACGTTTGTAATCAACCTCGACATCACCCGAGGCCGCTCGGCGACGTTCGCTCAGAAATCCTCACAAAATCATTTAACTACACTAATAATATTAACAATGCAATCAAAACCTAGTGCAAATAGCTTGCCCGAATTTTGACCTAAATGCAAAAAGTATATGAAATACATGTGAAATCGTTGGACTTCATGTTAGACTGAGACAAAAGAAAAGGGAACTTGCTTGCCTGGTACGTAACCTCTTCAGTATGCATGTCTGAACCCGGATGATTTCAAAATACTTATTTCTGAATGGGTAACACCTTACATTCATCTGCTGACGCTGATCACTCTACAAGGAACTGTCCCCAGGGGAGTCGTTGGTGGCTCAACAAAATCCCCTCGTTGGTTACTTCCCAAATTTATGCATAAGCCTTCACGTGGATTTTGTATCTGCAAATAAGCTTCTTTCTTCCGGTAGTTCTTCTCGCGTCCCGCGCATGTTCTTTACCAATGCCTAAAATTTTCTTTACAAACGTGATGACCTGCGTTGCATCTAGTCTGTTGAGTGACAATGTGCTTTGGAAATCGCAATGAAAATTTTGCAGGCTGAAGTACCTAACTAGCTAGTAGAGTTTAGTGCTAATACTGTTTCTGGTATGATATCCCATCGAATGTCAGTCTTAGCAATTGCTCTACACACAGTCATCTTTGTGTGAGATGCTTGTAAGCGTCTGTTAGATTGACAATGGCTATGTGACTCATTGTATTGATGTATCCATTTCAGGTGCAACAAGCTGTTCGCCAGTACACTTGTTCAATTACTCTGAGCCTTTTTTGAAGTGCCGGGCGCATGTCAGCATTCCAGAGGACGGAAGACATGATGAGCGCGAACTAACTACGCACCTCGAGGAGCAGTGAAGATAAATTTGCCTGAAGCTGTCATGGGAAAAGTATCGTAGCGACATCGATGTGAATGCTACGTAGATCGCCATGTTACTAATGATGTGGACCGAAAATTTAGTAATTGGTGCTCCACTCCAGACGGATATCCACAACGATATTTGACTAAATATTTGCGTCTCGTAGCCGAATGACCATTGAGCTCCGACAGAAACCGGCACATCCTCTTCATGCACACATCAAGTGCAGTTTGTTCAAGATATGCCCAGATAATGATTTGAGTAACATAAGTTATCTCTTCACATTCACTATTGAACCATGAATTTAATATGTGAAAACCAGAGATTAATTTCAAGCACAAGTGACGTTATTGTCAATTCTCGTTTACTCTCAGGCTGCCGATACTCAGAAAAGCGAACATTAAAGGGAACGATCACATGCAATTGATGGGGGGTCAATACACGTGCGACTTGTGAAGTACACCTTATGACAATAACCTTATTGTCACCTTCAGCTAAAACATTCAAACATTACTGCTTGTAGAAGTAAAATTGCGAAGTAACTACTTAACGCGCTCTGGATTATTGTTACACGCTTTACCTACGCACGACCCTTACTGTTTTTGTCCGGATGATTATTAGCAAAACAAACAACGTTGGCCTGGCGAACTAACGCAGTTGACATAGCGCAGCAATGCCACCATCAGTCATTCATTCTCTGTAATCTCTTAAGCGGCATTCCGTCAGGCGTTTGTGCATGTTCAAGCGGTTTACTGACTTCTTTTGCACTTACTGAAGGAAGCCAGGAAAATTTAGTGCATGATAGCCTAATTGTATCACTCAATTTTGGTTAACAATATTCTGAGTCCATTTTGAATATAATCCAGATTTTTGTTATCCCGTTTTGATATGTGTAGTATGCCCTCTCTGAATAAGTACAGCTAGATTGGATAACTGGCGGTGCAGCAAGCTTGCTAGCATTACGAGGATTCCATTACGTCGGTCATTCTCCAAAAGTAATATTTTCCGGTCAGTTTGGATGCTCTTCTTCGGTGTCTATATAGGTAATACAATATTTAGCTGCCCTATTCTTATTGCCACGCAATCTTGTTCGTGAACTTGTTAGATACACATCAGTTATTGCTACTAGCAATTTATGTGTAATTCATAGCTTTCATATTTGCTGTGTCCCTCATAATTCCATTTCTTCAGGAAAATGAATCGTTCATTTTGAGACGAGATGCACGGACCATGACCCATCCAGTGTGGAGCGGACTACTCTACAGCCAACGTCAAGTGCAGATTTGGTATGCATTATTCGCAAACTATGTGGACAGAAATACTCTTGCTGTGCATACTAAAGAGTGTTGGCCGGCTGCGTTAAAGAACCTGGGCTGCAATTCACATGCCACCCAGTATTTTTCCTTCGGGTTTACAATGGATATGGCTTGTGTGGATGGAGCTGTGGGTGGTTCAGTGTAAGGCATCCAGGTTACGTAAGTAGGAACACGTGCCTTGCGGCTTTGCCATTTTAGACCTTATTGGCATTCAAGTACGCAACCTGATGCGTGCAGTAATAACTTTCGTACCCACTGAACTGCGACAGCAAAAGTTTAGTTGAAAAACATTAGTGAAAAGAATTGTTAGGAACAGTTCTGTTCATTTGTTCTTAATCAGATGGCTCGGCCACGTGTTACGCATGCCAGCCCACCGACTCCCTCGACGTGCGTTGTTTGCGCGCCGGCGTTGTGGATGGAAGAAGAGAAGGGGTGGCCAAGCGATGACTTGGTCCAGAGGAATGAAGGCCTTCACTACTGAGCTGGGCTCGGTTGGAGCGTCTCGGCTCCCTGGCTGGGGTCCGAAAGACGATGAACACGTTTGGTTGGACACAATTGATGATATGGCTAGGAGCCGACATCAGTGGCGTTTGTGCTGTGAGTACCTTTGTCCCACCCCATCCCTCTTAG